ATTTGTGAGTGTCAATAGCTAGGAAGATTTATCCCTTCTGTATAAAACCTCCTGTGGCTATTACCTCCTCCTGTCTTTTACCTTAGGAGTTAGAAAGAACTAATTTCAAATTGACTACAAATACAAGTGCTGAATTAGAAAGTCAAAATGTTACAGTTTTGCTGTTTTCCAAATATAGAATTGTTTATGCTGGTCAAAACAAGAAAAGGATGCAAAATTTTCCAAGATGACTTACATAAATTTTACTCAAACTGTTCATTTGTGGTGATGCTGTGGTAAAACACAAAAGCAAGTTAAAATGCTCTTCTCTCTACATTGCCCTAGTAAACTTGCTGCAAGTGGTAGCAAATGGTATCCTGGGGTCCATCAAAAGAGGGGTGGCCAGCAGGGACAGGGAGGTGATTGTCCCCTCTACTCTGCTCTTGTGAGGCCCCATCTGGAGTACTGTGTCCAGGTGTGGAGCCCGCAAAACAAAAAAGACAGGGAGCTGTTGGAGAGGGTACAGAGGAGGGCCACTATGATGATCAGGGGACTGGAGCACCTCCCCTATGAGGACAGGCTGAGGGAGCTGGGCTTGTTCAGCCTAGAGAAAAGAAGGCTGTGAGGTGACCTCATTGCAGCTTTTCCAATATCTAAAGGGAGCCTACAAATAGGAGGGGAATCAACTCTTTGAAAGGGTTGATATTTGTAGGACAAGGGGAAATGGTTTTGAGTTGAGGGAGGGGAGATTTAGGTCGGACATCAGGGGGAAATTCTTTACCCAGAGAGTGGTGAGGGGTTAGAACAGGCTGCCCAGAGAGGTTGTGGATGCCCCGTCCTTGGAGGTGTTCAAGGTCAGGTTGGATGGGGCCCTGGGCAGCCTGGTTTAGCATTTAACGTGGAGGTTGGTGGCCCTGCATGTGGCAGGGGGTTGGAGATTCATGATCCTTGAGGTCCCTTCCAACCCTGGCCATTCTGTGATTCTGTGATTCTGTGAAGTTTACTAATTTATTTTCTTACTTATTTTCCTTTCATGTTAGAACATTCATAACCAGATGTATGGCAGTTTGTAAAGTTTCAAATTTAACACGAGTGTCAGGTAGGGTTGAGTTCAAAGGCAGCTACATTAAAATACTGAGTCCTTAATTCATATAATTCAAGTATCTTGAATTTCTTGTATTTTTCATTCACTAATTTATCTTCTGGAACTCATATTTACCATCACTACACAAGTTAATAATATCTATAAATTCTCTGAGAAATGTGTCAATAATCTCAAATTACTTTTCAAGAAATGCATCTGAACAAGCACATGAATAATTTGGTTGATACAGAAGAGAAAATAGAATATGTATTGTATTAATTCCCAGCTTCCATGGATCCTACACATGCTACATTCATTCTTGCAACACAGATATCTGAGTTGATTTTGCTTACCTGGCATCTGCCTCAGGGATGCCACCCTTCTTACATTACTAAGTACCCTCAACATTACTAAACTAAAATAGCTTCTAGACTGTATTAGATAATGAGCCCAAGTATCTCTGTATACCTTGTATCTCTGGATATATACACTGGACAAAGATTTCCATGCTTTTTATTCTATTCATAAGCTGTATATTAAATTACCATCTTCTTTCTCCTCAATCTGTATCACTTCTCTGAACTGTAATTCTGACTGAATTATCATTGAATTGGGTGATAGGTTTCATAATAAAACAGAAAGGGTTTTTTTCATTAGAAACTGTGCAAAAAAATGTATTTGTTGATTTTTTTTAAAATTTTCATATGTAAAATCAGCCGTGACATCTACAAAAGGCTTAGAGTGATTTTTCTACATTTTTTAAACATTCCCCTCAAAAAACTTTGCAGTTGACACTATTAAGTAGAATCTGGATCGCTACCTTTCCTGTTGGTTCCTGCAGAAGCGGCACAAGAGCAAAACATGACAGATTCAGAAAACAGATTTCACATGACTATTGCCTTTTTAGAGCCTTATAAGTTTTATTAGCAAAACACTTCCAACTTTGAATTAAATGATGGAGCTCATTGGCACTACAAAACAGTTTTCAAAACCACTGCTTTCATTTCCAAGAAGAAAAAGCTTAATACCAAAAACATTTCTGTGTCCAACTACAACAGTTATCTGGCATAAATGGATTTGTAACAATAATTCCCTGCGCTTAGTGACTGTGGAAGGTTTTCTCTTCCACAGTACAAAGAGAGGAATGCAATGGAAGGGTCAGTTTTGAGCTCAGCAGAATGCAACATATGTGATTTTAGGCAAGTCGCTCACAACTAGATCCAAAAAGGCAGTAGGCAACACTTACAGCGCTTCACTTCAGGATCCAGACTCTTATAGCGCAGGTGGAGTGCTGCATGTCTTAGGAAGCAATCAAAAGTAATTGGAGAGCTGCCTAAATCTAACTAACAGAGAAATCAGAATTATCTCTGAGAACAGTAACTGGACCACATGCTTGTGAGGCATGATTTCCTAAGTCCTGCTGAGACAGAAAGTTTTGGGCAGGTACAGAAGCACAAAGCTCAGCATCCAGGGAACTGAAAGTCAGTACCCCTCCCAAACACTTCAAACACACATTTCTCAAATTTCCGTATATTCAGCATCAGGTGACAGCTGACAAGGCTTTTCGAAGGATCCAAATTTTGGGTTTCTGTGCTATAAAGTTTTGTCTGTCTCCGCTAGCTCAGCAATCCAGCAGCGTTGCACTCTGCAAGCAAATTTCTCATTTTACCTCATTTATACGTGTGTTATACTGTAATGTGTGGAGCAGGTGTGTACTAAATCCTTTATGGACCATTAACCATTTTGCATTCATTCCTTTATCTATAAAGCAGGAGCAAGATTTACCTACTCCATAGGAATACTATGAGAAAAAATACATTAAGGTTTTCTGAAATGTTCAGGTAATACAGATGCTAGCATTGTAGAATTAGCTGGAAGTTGAGTGCTGCTGCACAAAGACTAAATGGTAGTTCTTCCAAACAAGTGACTTAGAAGAATACTAAAAATGATATTTGAGAAAAGAGAAATAAGGTAAGTGCAGTCTTTCTAGACCACCATTTGAATTCCAGTTAAAATCTTTCAGCTGTCAAAGGCATTAAACCTAATTACACTATAGATTTTATTAAGGATTATTATTTTTTTTCTAATTCAGAGTAAACAACACAAATATAGAAACATTATTATTTAATATAGTGGACATTTATCAATGCAGATGGGAATGGACTTTGATTAAGGAGTCTGATACCTGTCCAGAACAGCTCTTCCCAGAACTGAAGGTGAATGTGAGATAGTTCCTAGTGATATTTTCTAAAAAAATTGTTTTTTAATGTATCTGAGGTTAAAAACATGTAACCATTCTTTTGAGCACTTTTAAAGTTCATATTACCCTGAAAGGAAAGCTACAATTATTTCTTACACTGAAATGGAGAGCTTTCTTTACTATGAATCCTTCCACCTACATGGCTGTGGCAAGAACAAGTCATGGTGTTAAGAGACCCAGAGGAGACAAAAGTGGCCTGACTCTGTGGTCACCCACAGAGCTCTCGCTTCAGCCTAACTCAGGGCTCCTTGACTCAGTGCCCAAAATTTGTCATCTTCACAGTTTATTAAACAACCATTGGTTTGAGAAAACTAACAGAAATCAACCACTCCTCATCTTTTCCAAAACAAGCCCTGGAAGAGTGGTTAGTAAGCTTCAAACACATAAAAGCAGGTACTTTTGTGCCACACTTCAAAGATCATCTAGTTCCAAACGCTCTGCCATGGGCATGGTTGCAAACCACTAAATCTGACAGTAGATCAGGTTGCCCCATCCAACCTGACCTTGAATAGCTCTATGATGGAGCATTAACAACCTACCTTTGCAACCTGCTACAGTGCCTCACAACACTCTGTGAAACATCTCCCTGACATATAATCTAAATCCTCCCTCCTTTAGTTTAAAACTTTGTCCTATCACTATCCACCTGTGTGAAAAGTTGATTTCCCTCCTTTTTATAAGATCCCTTTAAGTACCAGAAGGCCACAATCAGGCTCCCTGGAGCCTTCTCCTCTCCAGACTGGACAAGCCCAGTTGCCTCAGTCTGTCTTCACAGTAGAGGTGCTCCAGCCCTCCGATCATCTTTGTGGCCCTCCTCTGCACTCTCTTCAACAGCTCCACATCTTACTTGTGCTGGGGGTCCCAGACCTGGGTGGAGCATTCCAGATTGGGCCTTACTTGGGCAGAGCAGAGGGGAGCAATTCCTTCCTTGTCCTCTTGTGATGCAGCTCAGGATACTGTTGGTCTTCTGGGCTGTAAGTGCACACTGCTGGTTCATGTTAAGTCTTTCATCCACCAGGACACTGAAGTCCTTCTCTGCAAAGCTACTCTCAAGGAGTTCTTCTCCCAGTTTTTAAATATATTTGCAATTTCCCTAGCCCAGTTGCAGCATCTGCATTTGGCCTTGTTGAACCTCACATGGTTCACATTGGCCCACTTTTCAAGCCTGTCCAGGTCTCCCTGGATGGCTTCCTTTCCTTCTGTCCTACCAACTGCACCGCTCGGCATTGTCCGCAAGCTGGCTGAGGGTGCACTCAATTCCACCACCTGTCACTGGTGAAGATGTTACAGGGCAGCACTCCCAAGTCAGACTCCTGGGCTACACTTTTGGTGTCTGCTCTTCACCTGGATGCAGAGCCATTTACCACAACCCTTCTGTTGCAACCTTCCAACTAACTCCTCATCCACTGTACAGTCTACCCTTTGCACTTGTATCTCTCCAATTTAGAGATAAGGATGTGAATGTTTGCCCTGTCTCGTATTTTTCCTTAGCGCCAGCTTTGGACATTGCTGGAAACAGGATTTGGGCTGGACTGGTCTTCAGTCTACTCAACGCAGCTGCCTCGCGTCCCGAGCGTTCAGCACACAGGACGGCTGACATTTGCGGGCGACCCGCGCGTTCCGGCCGTCCGGCGACACCCCCGCGCCGGGGCGGAGCGGAGCGGTGCGGACCGTAGGCGGTGCCCCGCGGCCGGAGGCCAATGACGGCCGCTGCCGTCACGGCGCCGCGTCACGCGGGCGGCCGCCAAGATGGCGAAGGTTTCGGAGATGTACGACGTGACCTGGGAAGGTAACGCCGCGAACAGCCGCCGGCCCGGCTAGGGACGGACCGGGAGGGCCTCGCGCCTCGTTGCGGCCCAAGCGGTGGCTCGGAGTTCCGTTGCGCTCCGGGCCCGAGCGGGCCGGAGCCGGTGTGCTCGGGCCGGGCGGTGAGGCGAGGTGACGGCGGCTCTTGCCGGATGCTCGGGCTGTGCCGCCGGAGGGCCCGTCTCGGCGGCCTGCCGCAGCCAGTCGGTACGCGGCTGGGCCCTGCCTGCCCGCAGAGCAGAAACACGAAGGGAGGGGGCGAGCCGCTTGCCGTGCCCGCCGTGCTGCCGGCCTGGCGTGGGGTGGGTTTCCCCGCGGAATGAGCTGAGCCAAGTGCCGTGGCATTCAGTGGGTATATCGCATCCCTGTGTCCTGCCGGGAATCACGGAATCACAGAACTGCTCACGTTAGAAAAGACCTTCAAGGTTATCAAGTCCCACCGTAAAGGAAAGAACTCCTCAGCGGGGCCTGCAGCACATCGTGGCTCTGTCCTCCTCCCAGAGTCCCCAAAGATCACAGCTTGGATGTCAGGCTGTTGGTAGTTTGATGGGTCCTTGCTGAAGGCACAGCAGTCTCTGGAGATATCTGTGCCCAGCTGCCTCCTGCCATCTTCTAGAGTGGGCTTCTCCCTGCTGTTTTCATTCAAAATTTGGATAAATGCTAGAAAAAGCATCTTTCCCCATCATGCTTTATACTGTTTCTCATGCCATTATCTTTTTGGTAAGGGCAGTTCAGTAAAGTTGTGTTATTTTTACAAGTTATTTTTATGTATGTTGTGAGAAGTTACTGTAACAGTTGTAAAGGTGTGGCTGGAAAGTTGCAGAGAGGAAAAGAGCATTAATTGACAGGCAGCTGAAAAGGCCAGTGACATCCTGGCTGGTATCAAAAATAGTGCCGTGAGCAGGAGCAGTCCCTCTGAGCTCAGCACTGGTCTCGCCTTGAGTGCTGTGTTCAATTTTGGGCCTATCACTGCAAAAAAGACATTGAGGTCTGGGAGTGTATCCGCGGCAGAGCAAAGAAATGCGAGTAATCTGAAACACAAATCTCATGAGGAGCAGTTGAAGGAACTGGGATTGTCCAGTCTAGAGAAAAGAAGGCTTAGGGCAGACCTTATTGCTCTCTGCAACTCCCTGACAGAAGGCTGCGGGAAAGTGGAGGTCAGCCTTTTCTCCCAGGTAACAATAATGTAATGATAAGTGACAGCCTTAAGTTGCCCCAGGAGAGGTTCAGGTTGGATATTAAGAAACATTTCTTCTCTGGAAGTGTGATGAGGTTTTGGAACAGGCTGCCCAGTGAGCTCTTGTGTTGTCTGTTGTTTAAGCTGCTTGGCTTACATGGTTGTGCACTAAGGAGTTTGATGTTTTCATGTGAGAAGTTTTTCAAGGAATTCTTTATAATTGCTGAAATTACCAACAAGACTTATATAACAGGCTGTGCATGTGAAGCCTCTTTTTTCTTTTTTTTTTTTTTTTTTTTTTGCAAGTATGTGTGTTGGTGAACATTATATACAACAAAGAGAAAATCCCAAATGGATTGTAAAGCTGAACACTGACCTCAGCATCTCTACTCATTAAAAACATCCACTTTAGATGACAAAATTGCTTCCTTCCTCTGACTTAGATGCTGAATTCACATTTACTATGTATGGGAAGACTCAAAAATAGAAAACAATCTCACATTTTCTCTCTATCATCATCTGTTTGCAATTAAATGGTGATGAAATATTTTTGTTGTGTTCCATTCTGTGTTTGCTTCTTTGTATTCCTATTTTCTGCCAATACTAAAGGACAGACCAGTTTACTCTGGATTTTATGTACGAATTGATGTGATTAAAGCAGGCAAAGGTGAGATCCTGAGATTTGAGGCCACTTTGAAAGCGAAGTTGTTGCAGCCAAAGGCAGCATCAGCACTGCCAGTTGAATTTCCTTTGCCTCTTCCTGCAAGTGCAGAGTGCCGGTTAGGCTGGAGCAAGGACTGGGGCTGGAGACCTGCCTGGAGCAGGAGCCAGGGCCGTACAGACCACGCGGGTGGAGGTGAGCCCATTCTGCCAGCGGCGATGTGGCTGAGGGGGTTTGTTTGCTTGGTATTTTAAGAGGAGAGAGTTGAGCTGAGGTGTGGTGGGAGATCTGGTATCTCTAACAGAAGGGCGATATAAAAATGAGCTCCAGGAATGTAACAGCTAGGGATTGACTAGGGCACTGGTTTTTGTGTGTCGGTGTCACATTTTCCCTGTATGTCTTGTATGTTTCTCTTCGTATGTCCCTGCTAACAGGCTAACTACCTTCATTTCATGAGGTGCTTTTAGATGCTGAAGACTTGAAACCTGTGGTTCAGCTGAATACATATGAGTCATTATAAAAGGGTTGCATAGTATCTGGTTGCTCAGCCCGTATTACCTGACACCTTAACAAGAACAAAAACAAAATAGGCACTATTTCCTTTGGCTTCCTGTAGACTGCTGCGTGTCTTTAGGGAACAACAAACACTGTGGCAAGTAATTTAAATGCTGTTCTGTTTGGAAGTGTGCTGGAATGAAGACATTGAGAATTTCCAAGTAAATGCATAGTTGGGAGTCAGTTGGCTTATTTATTTGTATGCATTTAGCTTGTCAGTTTCTGTGAATGTTTGTGTTCTCTCACATTCTTGCTGTCTAACTTTGAATTTCCAGGGAGCATCATGTGTCTAGAACCATTTAACTTTACTTGTGCACATGAAACATAACCGTGTGATGGTTTTGGTTGAAATTCAAAAAGCAAAATGTAGCACAAAAGCAGTCATGTGGGTGATCCAAGATCACTCCAGGTAGATAGAGCAAAGTTCGGTGCTTAGTTTTTAGCTGTCAGTCATGTTAACTGTGTGTTTGGAAGTGCAAAAGAAGCTGCCAGTGATTAGATCTACCATTGCATTTGCTTTCCCAGTTGCTGTAAAGTAAGAAAAAAAAAAAAAAGAAACTGGCAACAATTTTCATGGTATGTTCATTTTCAGTAAAACCACTATCTAATAGTGAAAACTATTTTCCTTTAGTTCCTCAAAATGTGTTCTTGTGTACGGGACACATACATGTGTCCAGATGTAAATATGTACACAAAGTCATTCTTAGCAGTTTTCTGTTCCAAAGAATGAGGAAAACCTCAGCTAGGTAGTGCTGAGTAGTGCTCTCTAGATGACTTTGTGTCTGCCTACACTCTTGGACATTTGTAGTAAACGTACTCTTGAAATTGGAAGCAAACACAAATCCTAATGTTAAAAAAAATCACCTTTTCCATCCTGATTTACCTAAATAAGCAACGGTTGCTTTTACCTCTGAGCACTTCTGTGGTGTAGGTAGAAAGCTTTTGCTTCCATGATTGTCTTGTAGTTTGTTTTGCTAGGAGCATGCAGATCCTTTTTGGAATGGAATTTTATGCTATTTCTTACACTGGTGAAAGTGAACTGCTGTTGAGTTCTCATAGTTATTCTAATGCTTTCTTTACTTGAAAATGTATTCACGTGGAGCAGAAATAGTTTTGATGTTGTTTTGTAAATACAAATGTAAAACTACTTGAAAGAAAACTCCTGAAGCCTGTTTTTCTTAAAACTGGGCAACATCCATTAAATTTTATTGTTTACTGAGTAACCAGCACCCTGCAAAGCTAGGAGTTGAATTATTTATATTACAGCATGAGCAAGGCTTGAGTGATTCAGGCTCCAGAGGTCTCATACATACACACATCTATTAATGGAAATCACTTTTTCAGATCTATTGCTTTCTAAACCTTGCTTCATATGCATATTTTAAGAAATAAAGTTCAAATTCCATTCCTACCTGGGAATCTGAATATTTTCTCTTCAATTCCTTTCTCTTTTCCCTTCAGATATGCGTGATAAAATGAGAAAATGGAGGGAAGAAAACTACCGAAACAGTGAACAGATAGTGGATGTTGGAGAAGAGTTAATTAATGAATATGCATCTAAGCTTGGAGATGACAGTAAGGAAGTGTTTGTCAGAGTATCCATTGCTTTTAGATTTTATTTCATTTGTCTGATTTTGGTTTTCACTTTTTGACTTCTCTGACTTTTTCTATTTCTCTGTTGCCTTCATGCATCTGATTGGGAAAATAGGACTTTTTAAAGTCTTAATGGGTTGCCAAAATTCCCAGGCTCTATTTCTTTCCCAGATACAGGCTTCAGTGAAGACAAATGTAAAAATTATTCACTAAATATTTAGTTTAGTGAGTTAGTTTGTTATTAGTTAATTATTAGTTAGACCATGATGTGAAAACAGCGTATATATATATTTCATTTAGTTTTCATTTGACTGATTTTCTGTTCTTCTGCAGCATTGAAAAATTGAAAAAGGTAATCATAGAATGGCCTGGGTTGAAAACTGGGCTTGGTACAGCTACCTACAAAAGAATTGTCAGTGTTTCCCTCTTATTTAGAAAAAAAGTAATTGAAAACTAACCTTGATTTTACTCTCAAGTTACAATGTTATTGGTAATTTATGAGAATTACATTTTAGTAAGCAGTTCTTGAGGAGCTTGTTCCTCTCAGATCTTACCATTTTTTATTTTGCAATACTATTTTGGAAGACATTAGCTTCGGTTTCTGTTCTGTAACGTATGTAAATCAAATCAGGTGTACCTGGTAAGTTTAGAGTACTTGCAATACATGTATTGATATTTTCTTCTGCCATTATATGATTTTTCTATAGCTTGTATAGTTGCTCTCCAAAGTTCTTTAAATTCAAGAACTTAATGGACCCAGAACAGAACTACTATAATCTGTCACTGATTTAGAAAAATTGTTCCATTCCAGGAAGAAAACAATATAGTAAACTCCTGGCAGGAAACAGTTAAGGGAAATTTGTTTTCATTCTAACCTACGGCTGTTCTCCAGGTCTCATCAGAGGGCATGTCCTAATGGGGATCTGTTTAAAAGTTTGCAGCTATAATGTTAGGAATACAAGAGAATTTGAGCTTTTTGCCTTTCAGAATGTCAGAAAGTACTTTATAGTACTGACAGCAATAAAACTACTTAAATGCATTTTTAATTGATTCCATCAGTTTCTTGAAATGTCCGTTGTTCTGTAATGATCCACAGAAGAATCAGGGGAAAAATATCTGGATATAGTTCATTGCTCTTATTTTCATTGTAGTTGTTTCCCTTTATGTTAAAAAAATAAATAAATAAAAATAATGATATCAGTTACCTCAATTTATGTCTCTTTTGTGTCCAGTTTGGATAATATACGAACAGGTGATGATTGCTGCCCTGGACTGCAGTCGAGATGATTTGGCACTGGTAAGTTTTTAAGCTGACTTTTCTCTCAAACCTTAAGTTTTCTTCCTGAGAAACTCTTCTGGATAGTTACTTGGACATTTGTAGGATATTCTGAACTCCATAACTTGGTCTTGTAGGATATCAAGAAATAGACTGCCGTGAAGAAACTGCCTCCACCCACCTTCAGTAATGTCTTTAAGTAGATCATGTCTCTTCCAAGAGCCATTAAAATATTTACAGCTACTTTGCTATGGGCTAAATTTCACAATGTTGCCATATTGTGCAGTAAGTGTTTGCTTATTAAAAAATTCCCAAAATATATAGTTTTTTTAATGTTTTGAGGTAAAAATGCCCTGTCATGTATATACAGTACCCTGTCATATCTATACAGTATATCATGCTGTCTTTGCTGGCAGTGTTTGACGCATTGGAGCAAGTCCAGTTGGTGTCCACCAAGGTGAGTAAGGAGCTGGGCTACATAATGCGTACTAAAAGACTCAGAGATATAGGTTTGTTAAGTCTTGAGGAGGCAAAGAAGAGATCTTTGTTATCTTCAAATCTGTAAATACAGATTTGTAGAGTGTTATAAAGTTATAAAGTAAGTGTAGACAGACTTTAGTTGATGCAACAAAGGACAAGTGTGATAGGTATAAGTGGCAGCAAAGAAAATTCCACTGTCCAGTATTAGGAAAAAAAGTTTTTAATAGCAACAGTGGTGAACACTTTTGGGACACACAGTACAGAAAAGAAGTGATATTCCTTGGAGATTCTGAGAAACATGTTGCCGTGTGGTCCTGAATCACCCTCATTAAGTTGGAAACTGGCTTTGTTATGAGTGAGGGTTTGATGCAGGTGGCCCCTTCTGATCCAAATTATTCAATAATTCTGAATATAAATATTGTTAATGGTCATTTGGTTTTAGTAACTTTGTGTGCAGATTTATTTGAATTATAAAAATAATTCAGACTAAGTGAGCCTGTTTTGAACTCCTAACAGCTGCTCACTAGTTGAAAAACAACACTTTCCAAGGTTCAGGTAATTCACAGGAATTACTTTCCCAGTGCCTTGTTCTCTGGCAGCCAGAAAGACACCATTTTGAGCTTCAGGTGGTGTCATTTGGGTGAAACCTAACGGTCTGCGATATGCAAGGGATCAGACTAGGGGCTGTACATGGGAGAAGGGCAGTTTGAAAGTAGGCAGAACCAGACAAGTTTTTCTTGAGATTCGTATATATATGGTACAACGGAGTACTGGAAAATAGAGAACAACACACTGAACTGTGTATGAACCTGGCGAACTTCCCTTTTATTTGTGACTCAAAAGAAGACACCACTATAGTATAGTTCTCTGTTCAAACAAAAAAATAAATGCCTTTCTGTGTTCTGATTTATATCTAAATCAATTTTGGTCTTTATTTTCGGGAAGACTTTAATGGAATTGTTGAGGCAGCCAGTGCTGAAAGATCAGCTGTGAAACGCTATTTGTTTTTACTGACCATGGCAAAGATTTTGAATTTGTTTCTGTGCCCTCTAAGAGATATTGCTCGGGGTGAGGCAGTGCACGTTTTGTATGCAGCTCAGAAAGGAGGTTAAAGGCTTAGAGCCAAACTGGGTGATCATTGTGGTCCTTTTCAACCCAGGCCATTCTGTGATTTATCTGGCTTTTGATTTGTGTTTTTGTTGTTTGCTTTTTCCTTTGGTGAAAGTGCCTGTTACTGTAAGCACCTGCATTACCAGTGTTTAAATGCTTAAGTTCAGATGTATACTTCTTTACCTTTTGTCATAGCTTTAAAATTAAAAGCCAATGTTGCTGAAAAAATCAGAAAGCAGATTAACTGCAAATTGAAGTTTCACAAATACATGAGATTTGCGATCTAATTGCTGAGTTTCTGGGAGAAACTGAAAAGTAGATTATTGATGTTGTGTAGAACCGGTTCTCTCTGTGTGAACTTATAGAGTCTCTTGTTAACAAATGCAGCATTTCAGAATCACAGAATCAAGGTTGGAAAAGACCTTCAAGATTATCCAGTCCAACCGTCTACCCATCACCAATAGTTCTCACTAAACCATGTCCCTCAACACAAAATCCAAACGTTCCTTGAACACCTCCAAGGTTGGTAACTCCACCACCTTCCTGGGCAGCCCATTCCAGCTCCTGGCCACTCTTTCAGAGAAGCAGTATTTCCTAACGTCCAGCCTGAATCTCCCTTGATGCAGCTTGAAGCCATTCCCTCTTGTCCTATCACCAGTTACACAAGAGAAGAGGCCCACTCCCAGCTCACTACAACCTCCCTTCAGGTAGTTTCTCTGAGAGCAATGAGGTCTGCCCTGAGCCTCCTCTTCTCCAGGCTGAACATTCCCAGCTCCTTCAGCCGCTCCTCATAAGCCCTGTGCTCCAGACCCCTCACCAGCTTTGTTGCCCTTCTTTGAACCCGCTCCAAGGCCTCAATGTCTTTCTTGCAGTGAGGGGCCCAAAACTGGACACAGTACTCGAGGTGCGGCCTCACCAGAGCTGAGTACAGGGGGACAATCACTGCCCTGCTCCTGCTGGCAACACCATTCCTGATGCAAGCCAGTAGGCCATTCGACTCCTTGGCCACCTGGGCACAGTGCTGGCTCATGTTCAGCCAAGCATCAATCAATACCCTCAGGTCCATTTCCTCTACGCAGTCTTCCAGCCACTCCGTCCCAAGCCTGTGTTGTTGCCTGGCATTGTTGTGGCCGAAGTGCAGGACCCGGCATTTGGCCTTGTTGAAACTCATCCCATTGGCTTCAGCCCAGCTCTCCAGCCTGTCCAGATCCCTCTGTGGGGCCTCGCTACCCCCAGGCAGATCCACACTTCCAGCCAACTTGGTGTCATCTGCAAACTTACTGAGGGTGCACTCAATGCCCTCATCCATGTCATCAATGAAGATATTGGAGAGGACAGGCCCCAGCACCAACTCCTGGGGAACACCACTTGTGGCAGCTCACCAGCTGGATTTGGCCTTTCACCACCACTCTCTGGCCCAGCCTTCCAGCCAATTCTTTATCAAGCCAAGAGCATACCTGTCCAAGCCATGGACAGGAGAATAGCCATTAGTCCAAGCCATTCTGTAGGAAAATACTGTGGGAAACAGTGTCAAAGGCTTTGATTGAAATATATTTGAAATATAATACATGATTATAGGGAGTACAGGTTAAATTTGATGGGAATGACTGTACTGCTGAGATGAGAGCAATATGTAAGATATACATAGCCTAGCTTATCATGCAGGGGACTTCTTTTGGATTGTTTTGAAAAGTGCTACAGCAATTTGTTCAGAGCAGTCTCACAACTTTTCATATCAGATTATTTCTTCTGATTTCTTAACGTACCTAATAAATTCCTACCTAATGAATTTCAAAAAAAAAAAGGGAATTTATTTCGGTCTCATAGCTCCTGAATTCAACAGGATGGTGACCTAGTTGGGTCTACGTTGAGTGGTTCTAGTCTCACAGTACTTCTGCATTCTTCATCAGCATTTCTTGTGTTGTTAATCATTTTTTTTTTCTGGGTGAAAGTCTGTCTGCAGCTTTTGGGACCCAGTATTACCGCAAGTTTTGTCAGTTTTTGAACAAGTGCAGGAGAAAAGCAGTGAAGGTTTTTCTACTTCACCAGCAGCTCTTCATCTAGCGACACAGCACTTGTGCTAATTTTGCTAATTTTTACTGATTTACTTATCTGTTTGTATTTCTTACTTTGACCAGTGGATGTGATGAAATGGAACAGATTATGTGGATTGACCTTAGCCAGAAACTTAGATTTGAAGAACAGATTTTTAAACTCACTTGTATAAATAAATGCTTTGAAAAGGAACATTGTATGTGAAGCTTTTAACAAAGCTTCAACCGTTTGTCTTCTGAAGAGACTCACCTCTATTCTGCTTCTCATCAAAGGATTCAGCTACAAGCCTTGCACTGCTGTGTAGCCACAGCTATGATATGATTTGTCAGTTTGCTCTGGGGAAGTTGTGACTCAGTCCCTCTGTCAAACATGCCTTTTTTTTTTTTTTTTTTTTTTGGCTAATCTGGAGAAATCTGTCTATGTTGAATTCCTTTTATCCAGCCTAGATGTCTCATTGATTTCAGGAGTTAGAAGTTATACCTCCTCTGCCAACAGGCTCTGTTCAAGCCAGTGACAAACATTTTCTTTGGATTTCAAAGTTTTATTTAAAAAATAAACACAGAGCACAGAATTAACATCATTTGTTCCATTATAAGATATCCATTTATTAAGGAAGTATCACGTAAGTTCTTACTGTCTTTATTTTTCTTAACTGTCTTGTGTTATTATGAGGAAACTAAGTAGACTTCGGTAAATGAGTTTACTTATAGTAAATGAGTTTACTTTTCAGGGCAAATAACTATTTCCAGGAAGCCTCAATGATCTAAAAAAACTATATGGAAAATATTTCTTAAAATTAGTCTTCTGACAGACAGAGTTTCAGTTTATGAACTTTTCTTTATCAGTACATTTTATTGCTTATTTCAAAAATAGGTGTTTACTTTTAATCAAAGGTCATGTTTCAGGCTGTTGAATTTATCAGCCAAGGACTTCTTTTTTCTCCACTTCTGTATTCACTGTAGTATTTTTTATTTTATTTGTACAGTTTTGTCTTCAAGAACTAAGGAGGCAGTTTCCTGGGAGCCATAGAGTTAAGCGATTAACTGGAATGAGATTTGAAGCTATGGAAAGGTAAAACCTTGATTTAAAAAAAAAAAAAAGTATTTTCTATGTGGAAAGATGCATGCTATTTCTTAAAAAGGAATTTGGGGATAATAAAAGCGTGGCAAAGCAATGCTATCCAGTTTCTACAAAGAAAATAATGGTGTGCATGATCATGTTATGTTTAGACATTTTTTATTGTGTTTTTGCTTGTACTATACAATGTTACATTTTTGCAATGTTCTGTCAGACTTTATAGATTGGAAAGATCTATTACTTGACAGTCTAAGTTATCATACAGTAAAGCATGAGGCACTTTTTTGGCAAGGTCTGTGAGGTATACATTTCATCTTGCAGACCTAGAGCAGAATATGAAAATGACTGACAGACTTTTTTTGCTTCACTGTACTTCTGTGCTTCTGATTGCTTCAAAATGGAGCTCTTTTTCTTTTATTCCAAGTCTTTGTAAGTCCAGTAGAACTTAATATGAATCACTATGGAGTTCTTCATAGAAGCAGTTCAAAAATGGCAGAAAGTAAAAGAGGAAACATTGTAAAATATCCTATAAAATGTTTATAACATACCAAATTTAATATGAATTATTAAAATAATGAACAGTTGAGAACTTTTCCGAAAGGAGTGACCTTCATTTCATGCCATACAGAGTTAATGGGATTTCAAGCCTTTGGCCCATCTTTAATGAAGGAATTGGAATTTCAAAGTGGATACCTAAATACTTTTTAAAAATATATTTAGCAGATGTTCTTTATCCATTTCCTTGCAAAATTAAATCTGAAAATGTAGTTTGATATGATCCATGAGTGAAAGTCCTTTGCTTGAAAAAAAAAGGGAGGATAACTGGATTTCATTAGCACAGGAGCAGTCTTAGTGCAACTAGAAGTTCCAGATTTCATGCTCTACACATTCCTGAAAAATTTGCATTAAACTTAGCAGTCTCCTTTTGTTGTAGGGTAGAAGTACACTGAGAGCTTAGCAGCTTAGCAACATGTTTTCCCCCCTTTTCTCAAAACTTGTCCAAAAGTGAAAAATATCGTAATTCTGTTCAGATATGTTTGTCTACACTGAAGGTGCTACTGCATGGAGGCAGATCTCTATAGGAGTTAATGACCCCCCAAACACTATGTTGTTTCAGCAGTGAAGTGGGACTGAGCTTCAGCTTTTCAATAGTGTTTTTTTAAATTGTTGTGGTATTGTGGTCAGTTTAAATCCTTGAGACATGACTATGAGGTGTGCAGTATAACAGAAACCAAGATTACTTGTCAACAGGTTTTCTCTAGAAGCTGGAGGAGAAGAATGGGCTTCAGATGTGGGTCGCTGTGTACAGGAGCCCACCTATGATTGTTCTGAACTGTGCCCTAGGAAGGCCTGCCTCTTTCCACTGCCTATAAATGAAGCCTAAGGAGACTTTGTCTGGGGGTGATCACATGCTCTGTAGAAGTGCACTTCTAATTAAATTCCAAGTGCCTTCGAGAGTTGTTAAAATCCTGCATTCCTCACCAGAAAGGGGAAATAATGAGGAACATCCTCATAGACACTTGCTGATCAAGAGAATACTCTTCTGGAACTTAACTTAGTTAACTGGGGGTTATGGCTTTAAGTTCAGCCTTGTGAAATACATGGGATAAAGTAGCAGCTAATGGGAAATGTAATTACGGTGTTTAATGGCATTTCTGCTCAACTTGCCAGTAGCAGTCACCTTCTACTTGTTACTGCTTTTGTGCTTCTTTTCACGTTTGTGCTTTACTTTATGGTAACTGGATTGGAAAGCTGGGCTGTGAATGTTGTGGCAGTGCTCAGAAAGCAGTGTGAGTATGTAATGTCTGAGGTGAGAAGGGGATGTGCAGCAACAAAATCAGCAGTACCTCAGAAAAACTGCTTGTCAAAATATGTGTGAAGAGACAAAGCATGCCTTGGTTGTGTGCTGATAGCCTGGTAGCTGTGTAGTCCAATGTATTTTGAGTTGAATCGTTTAATTTGTCCAGTTTGGGTTCTGCACATGGCTGGCTAAACCATGAACCTGTTTCCCAGAAGACATACAGTGTTTATAGTAACTGGAGTAATTTATTTTGAGCAAACTTGAAATAGCAGAATTAATAAAACCTATGTAGTGGTGGTGGAAAACAGTTTTCTTTCATGACTTATGGTAAAGTCTAGGGGTTGCTCTAGTGTTACTAGTCCTTGTAGTTTACTGTTTGCAGCTTACATTTATAAAATTGTAACAAAACAGATATATGAGAAGTTTTAAATTGCAGTAGTTAAGTGAAAAGTCATTATTTTGGCCTATCAAATTCTGGGATTTCTGCTTCTTGGGAAAGAAGAGAGATTTGGGTTGTGGTGATTGGATCTATGGGTACAGAAGAAAAGAACAGAAAGAAGGAGTATGACAAGTTTGTGTAAAATGTATTAGTTGCTGAAATAGTATTCCATGAATGAATTGCCATTTATTTTATTTAACTTTGTCTGCACAATTTTGTTTGCACAATTGTATTCAGTATAAAACGTACAGGAGTGTTATTGACTATTGCAAGAACAGTCATATAGTCAGAATTCTGTTTTAGCAAAAACAAATGTGAATGATTTCTTCAAACAGGTACGATGATGCCATCCAATTATATGATAGAATTTTACAAGAGGATGCAACCAATACAGTAAGTTTAAAAAGCTTTTCTAAACTGCAGTGGTTTATTTGAAATTGACATTTTGTGGTTTTCACTGTGGAAAAAATGTTTGTCATGTATTGTCATGTCATGTATTACTGTATTTGTTTCCTTTAGCTTCCTAGTATTATAACTGTGTGTTACCTTGTTGCCTTTGTAACAAATAAGATTCTCTTGATGAAGAGATGATGTGGTTTAATACTTGCTTAAACACTGAATTTAGAGGACATAGGATTATAGCTGTTAACCTTTCCAGTAATCCTTAATGAGACTTAGATTGATGTCAGTTAACAATGATTGTTATCAGTTGCTTGTTTGAAGGATATGTTTGTCTATGTTACTTGATTTTGAGGAACTGGATCTCAGTATTGGTTAGACTTCTGTGCAAGTAAAATACTTTGGCTGTTGTAGACATTTGACAGTCTGTTGTAAACTCTCAGTGGTACGTTTTAAACCTCTGCCTTTCTACACTTGTCTTATTTGATGTGGTCTGTTATTCAGGAGTTGAAATGGATTACGGGGTCAGCAAGCCTAATTGGTATATATAAAGTGCAAGCACTTACATGAAGTAAACCATTAACAAAAAAGGGATGGCGACAAATTATTTTTAGGGCAATGTATCTTGAAATAATACCAAGTTGATCTCTCAGACAACATTGATAGACTAAAGTCTGACATTTAGCATTGATTCTGAACAGTTTTTTGGTGTGTAGGTAAAAAGAGCTATTTCAGTTCTTCACTCCTAGTTTTCACTTCCCCTAAACTAGTTTGTCTTGAACTTTGTTTGCAAGAGAAATGTAGGTGATCTTCTTAGTAAGTCTGTGATGCTTATGACAAAAAGCTTGAACATAAGATAAGTAGATTATTGCCATGTATTTTCACAGATTTTAGTAATGCACAACCCAAAAATACACTAAGTCTTCAAAGTCACAAATGTTAAAATGAGAAGGAAACCATCTACAGTGAAGCCACAAGAGTAGGTCACTTAGGTGCACATTTTATGGCTTTCTGCTAAAGCCTTTGAAAAATGGAGCACCATATTACAGTGACATCTGTAGACCACAGGTCTTTGAAGAGTGCATTTTTGTCAGTTTCGCTTTTCAGCTGTCTCAACATAGCTAATGTCATCTGAGTAGGGTGTTTGTGGGATGGTTTTCTAGAACAGCGTAATATGTTTAAGTAATATGCCTAATTTAGATTTTTTGTGTGAGAAAATCATTAAGATCCATAAAACATTAATACTTAGAAACATAAGATGTAAATTTTGTAACACTTCCATCACTTATTGGATTTCTGAAAATCTGAGACTAGAAGCAAGCAGTTAAAAAGAGCAGAAGTTTCTTGCTGTATAACTGTTGGATAGGTTGGCTCAGTCTTGCCTCTGAAAAGTGAAAATTAAATATGAAGTTTGGAGAAATTGACATATGTAAGTTTCTTTTGTCTTTTATCTGATAATTATTTCCATGCACACATGTGACTGCTGTAGGAAAATAATCGAGATTTTAAAAAGAAGCTGTTGCTCAGTTTGTGTTGGCAGTCACCTTACTTTATACAATTTCTTCTGATGTGTGGACACATGGAGTTGGTTATATATATTAAACAGTTTGGCAAGTGCTGTGAGTGAAACGTAGACATTTGTTCACACAAATCATGCAAAAATCATACATTGCATCAACTGACAGTTTCAACTGGTGAGAAGAATGGGAGAAGCATTTTCAAGAAAAAATCCTTTATTTTAAATTCCTGATAGGCTTCTCCATTGTAAGTGAGCCTTGAAATCAAATTATGTAATGGGCACTTGTGCTTTTGGATGAGGTTTTGTTGCAAATTTTGAAATTGAAGTTAACACTAATTGTTAGATTTCATTTCTCAAAATACAATTCAAAGTAGTATTCTTAAAATATGATAATCTCTCAGTATTTCTCAACCATCTCAATTCTCAATACCTCTCAACCATCAAACTTCACTCTATTAAAAAAGCTTATTTGTGTAACAATGGAGCAAAGTTAGTTTTGTCATTTCGGAAATCATGTTTCATTTTCCAAAGCTTGTAGGCATTAGGAGTCACTCTCTTCTCTAAGGAGGTTAGTATCCTTGAATGAAATGTGACTTCTGTGAATAGCACAACTTGTGTGCATTTTAATGCAATCAGCCTGGCAACCTTTTCCTTTCTTGCCTGTTTCAGAGGAAATACAAGCATATTAGAGCTGCAGTTGGCAGATTATTCTGCTATTAAGGCTGTGTAATATTTTCCATCACAGGTCTTTTTTTATTAATTAAAATTTAATTTAGTATCCAATTGAAAGTCTTTATACTGATGCCAAACAGTGGCCAAGTTTTTTATAGACCAGCATACTTACGCTGTTTCTCAGAACGAAATAAGGAGGACGTTGTTTTTCATAAGGATTGGGAGAAAAGGCTTGGTTGGTTGTTTTTGCCATTAATTTATTTTATTGGGGAGGCCTCATCCTGTTGTACTTTGGAGTAAAGCCTTGGATACTGACAGGAAAACAACTCTTAGTAGAATGCAACTTTTAGTATTCTATGAGGAAAAACACCAAAATTTGTCTAAATTACAGGTATTTGAATGTGTTCATTTTGTGATATCAGTAGAAACTGCTGAAATTTTTTATTAAATACATTTTCTACATGTATTGAGCATGATCTATCCCAGGCTACGGAGAGAAAATGCAACTTCTAGCTATTGTTCATCATTACTGTAGTGTTGTGGGAAAGGATCAGAAAGCAGGGAGGTTCGTTTCTTTTCTGAGTTGCACCCAGGTGGTGAGTATGGGAAAAGAACATCCCAAAGGAAGAGTGAAAAGGGAAGAAAGCAGAAATCCTGAGTGCCAAAGAGAGAGGGACAGGTACAACAAAGTTAGGTGGTTAGTTAACAGATGTCAAATATTGTGCAATAGGTGGTTTGAAGGGTAAATGGGAGATCAGAAAAGAGCAATTTGTATTAACACTTACGTCTCGGGGATTTTTCCTTCTTCTTTTTTTTCTTTTTTTTATTCCTTTTTTGTTCTTTTTCTTTTTTAATAAAAAGAACACTTGAAGCACTTGTTTTCTTCTGTCAATAAACAACTTTGAGACCTACTGGTGGAAGTTGTCTCATTGCCTGTAGTACCTGGTGTGTACTAATTGTGTCAGTAACTGTTTAGGCTGTAATAATGAAGGCATATACCAAGGAAACAGTTCTTCAGTTCTGTTATTTCACTAAAGAGAACACAGCTTTACTTCGTATCTCCTGAGGATATACCTGAAGGCTCAGGTATGCTACTTTAAAAATGCCAGAAAATGCAAATTCTTAAAATGACCAGTAGTATTTTCAGTTAGTAGGTACTATTGAGCTGTACTGATTAAGATAATGAATGATAAAATTTCATATAACTTTGTAATATGAAATTTAATGGCACATTTAATCCCTAGCTATTTTTAATCAGTACAGTGGTCTTCACAGTATTTTCAGCATCTTTCATTACTGGTCCTGACACTACAGTAGCAATTAGATTTTTGATAGTTTTTGTAAAATGTAATGGGAAATCTGCTCAAAAATTGACATGTCTATATTTTTCTACATGATATTCAAGACCTAATGTCTTGAGATGAGTTTTTTTGCATAAGAATTTTACAAATTAAAATAGTATCTGGAGTGGTTTTCTATTTCTTGCTTGTCTGCAGCATCCATGTGAAAGGAAACAGTACTACCATTTAACATGCGTAGAGCAGATGAAAACAGCTCTGCAAAATTGCTTAGGACTCAGTTTCAAAGTAGATGACTTTCCAATTTTGCCACTGATTTCAATTTTGTAATGGAATTTAAATGATAATATAATTTTTAAACCGTGTGTTCATGTCTGTATCAAATTATGTTAAATGCATTTTTGCATTAGTGTATCCTGGCAAAGATGTCTGCTTTTGGAGAGTATTTGCATATGAGCATCCATCTACTTTGATAAAACAAGTAAGTATTTTTATGAAGTGAGCCCTTCTTTAGATGACCTGTCCAGAAGTGCAAAGAAGACTAATTGTGAAAAGGAAACTGAGATCACATGTCCAAGTTTTGTGCTGGTATCTAAACCACTCCACTGTCATCTTAGTACAGCTGTAGTTTGTCTTGATACTTCAGCTCAACCATCAATAAGATTGCAGAGCACTTAGTCAAGAAAAGGGGAAAGTGAGATAAGACACACAGTTCTGCCTTAATTCTAATCCCCAGAAAATCTGATGTCTTCATTGGAGTGATTCTTGCCACTTTTTCAACTAAGCTTTTAATGCAAGAAGACACTGTATATGCTTGCTTAGCTTAGGGTATGTGGATAATCTTGTTACCTTCATGGTCTAGTAAAATAACATTCACTGAATGAGGAATTAAAAATGGAGTTTAAAGAACAAGACAGTAAATTACTTAAGAACTTGGAAAGACCATGACTTCACCCAGAGTGCTAACAGCTGTTTCCAGGAATGATCAACAAGTATATTTATAGGATCACATGAGTTAATACACTGTTGTATTTTGAGATTCTTTTACTAGACAAGCTATCTTGAGATGGCTGAAAACATATTGGAGTCCAGATACTAGAAAAAAAATGAGAGTAAAATCTTAGCTTTGTGTATCATGTAAAAAGGCAGGAATTAAATATCATAAATAGCTTCCTAGCATTTTTTTTTTTTTAAATCATTGTGTATTACTACCACCTTGACTATACAGGTAACTTATTTTCTTCCAATTCCTTATCTTTGTTGATCAAGGTCTGTCTGAACATCAATACTTATTTATAGTGTGATCAGTGATAATTCTTTACAGTTCCTGCAGTAACGATGCATTTATTTTGAAGAGGCCTCCATTGAAGTTCTTGCAGGTTTGTCTACTGGAGGCTTTTAAATTTCAAAAGGGAAAATTGCTTACCAAATGAAATACCTGCTAATAGAGGGAATTTTGTGAAGTGACGCGTATGCTTCATTGCAGACGCTGATGGTCCTGCTGG